TGTATATAATGTGTAGTGTCCTTTTCCTTTCTCTTGGTGCACATGCGGATTAAATGATGTTAAAAGCGCCCGTTATACAGTATTATACAGGTGCTTTAAACGGAACTGTACCGACCCTCAGTGCAATAATTCTCGTGTTTTGTGTCATAGGATTAATAATTACAATATTTCATGCTTAATTCTATATTACTAGATGTTATTGTACATACAATAGAATAGACATAAATAGTTTAAGTAGGTTATATATTATTATTGTGTACTTTCGCCAAAGTGATTATTGTAGTTATAATTGTAGATCAATTTGAAGATTATTTTTATTTAAGTTTAATTCAGCTTTACAGCCTATGCTGTTTTATTTCGTAATAAATTACCGCTAACATGCAATGCACCAAATTATTCGATACAGTATGATATGTTTAAAATAGAGTAGTTTCAGACGATCAATAAATTACCAAAATGCCTAATGCTTAATAATGTTTATTAACTAATTAATTAATAATTATATTTACTATATATTATATGCATTATGATTATTATATATATACAATTAATATATTTATTATTTTAATATTATGATTAACATAATAATAATAAATATTATCTTTCATTATTGTTATTGTTATTATTTATCATGACAATTGTCGATATCATTTTATCATCATCAGTATTAATATCATTTACGTTATAATTATGATGATAATTTTTCGCTTAATAATTTATGTCATTGAGGTCATTAAGCTTTGTATTGCAATGAACATCATCGAGTATCATCGAGTTGTAAAGCATATAATAAGTAATGCTGTATACGACTACAACTGTACATCCACTTTTTGCTTCATATAAACAACATGTAATCATTATCTTGTAAAAATATGGTAAATAAATTTATGTACTACTGTATGCCCACCGCTAGTACTATTTTGCTTGATGTATAATATAATAAATATTTGTAATATTGTGATTTTTCTTTATTTTCATCGTCTCCTTGTATAGTAATATCAATGATTAAAGCTTATAGTTGGTGTTTCATGTCTTCTCGCGGATGGTTTTGTTACTTTTTAATATTGTGTCTCCATAATGTGGCTGCATCATTTTTTTCCAACCGCAAATTACATGTATACAATGCATGTGGGTAAATAATTGCTATAAAATTACACATCAATAACACTAAGTACAACATGTATTTAGACAAAGCATCATTATAAATCAGTAATATCAACACCACCATCATCATCATTATTATCATGTTTTCTCGTGGATGGTTTTTTTTTTTAATATGGTGTCCTCCATAAAGTGGCTGATATTTTTTTTTCTGTAACCGCAATTTACATATATATAATGCATGTAGGTAAATAATCGATATAAAAAAATTATATATCAATATCATATAGTACAACATGTATTTAGACCAAGTATCATTATAAATCAGTATTATCAACACCATCATCATCATCATCCTCATCATTATTATCATTAGGATTTTTTTTTAAATTAATGATAATGAATTATCATCATCATTAATATTATTATGATTATGAATTATTATTACTATTATCGCATGGAGAATGACTACACAATTCTGTTTCTATAGAATAATAGCTAAAGCTCTGTCCACGCTATCAAATTCTATGTGACAAATGCGGATGATGTGCCTATATATGGGCATGATGATGTCACATTACACCTATATATGGGCATGATGATGTCACATTACACCTATATATGGGCATGATGATGTCACATTACACCTATATATGGGCATGATGATGTCACATTACACCGAATTATGTGCATATTGCACGTATATGTCGCACGTAATATGATAGTGTGGACAGGGCTTTAGCAATATCAAGAAAATCACACAAGATTGATGGCAGCATTAAATATCTTTCACTCGAGCTCTATAAATCTGAAGCTGTTTTAGAAACTGTTGTAGTTGTTGTGATACAATGAAAAAAAATCAGTGTCCCTATAAGGGTTATTTAACCATTTGACTCAGAAAGTGTCCCCATTCCCTTACTATTGGTGTCCCCTTATCCGGAGTTGGCCATAGTGTTAAAAAATATATTACCCCTGGTTTCAAGGGAAATTGTCCTCTTAATAGGATAGGGATGTCCACTGAATAGGGAAGTCCTAAAGGAGGGGTTTTACAGTATTTAATTATTGCAACTCACTTGATGTATGTTTACTATACACGGAATTTTTAGAGGCTACAATAAAATATTTCGCACCTCAGCCCCAACTATGGTGAGGCTCAACCCAGCAACACATCCCAGCTTGTGGTGTCTCCATCTCTTCTCAACACCATACCACATTTATGTCTTATCGTCGCCATCATCATTGTCATATATTATTATCATCATCATCTCATCATCCTAATTATTTTATATTTTTTCTGATCATCTAAGTAAAAAAAAAAAAAAAAAAATATCCCTTTCTGTGAAACTCTAAAATCAACCTCATTTTAACAATGCGCACACCTATAGGTCCCTCGTTTTAGTGAGCTAAGCTGTAAGTTTGTATATCTATCGTCTATTTGCCTTTAATAAATCAAGGATTTACTATATAAATAAAATTGCTTAGATGGTAATCAGTAAAGACCTACCAAAAGCAAACACATCACAGGAGACCTAATGTTATTTAAAAATAGAATACAATTAAAGTGATAGTACATTTCATTCAGAGTTTGATAAACAAAGTATTAATTTCTTAAGTGAAGTTTAATTAAAATCGTACCCGACAGTCTAATTTTAGTGTATTTTCCCTCAGTGAAATTTAATGTACTGTAGGGCCCTCGGTAGAGCAGTGTTGCTTACAGAGAGGGCTACCGTACTGAAAGAAAATAGAAATAAATAAACAAATATAGATTAACCAAACCATTAACCAAAACGCTAAATATATGGCCCTTGGGTTCTTTCTCTTTAAATGAGTATAGTACCGGTACTTTTTCTTCTCTAAGTAGGCCTATTCATTATCGTATTCCAGCCCGCCCCTAAACTTACTCAAATAGAACTAGATAATGTCCGATAGTTTTACTATAAATTTATGTAGCATAAGCACGATGTTTACAGTAGTACATTAGTAATCAATATTCCTGGCCCGAATAGTAGACAAAGAACCAAGATAATACGGGAGGATGGTCGGAGGGCATCGGTATTACTTCAGTAAACCTAAGTAGTAATTGTTCATTTGTATGACTGTGGCAAAGGCCTGACGGTCTTGAACAAGCACACGTAGGCCTACCCCCGAACCTCTTAAGCCACTAGGATAAGCTCCAGCTCCATGGATTTAAATTAAAGGCATATGGGAGGCTGTTATACAATGTTTTTTCCCTATCTATCAACTTTTATACTCTACTCCACATACAGAACTTCTGAAAATACTTTTTATTACACTACGCAGGAATACTGACCAACTAGTTAGTACTACCATGGAGGAATAAATGGTACTACGTTAAAATGCAGACGCCGCCCTCTATAGTATTACATTTTACAACTCAAACAGGTCATGGCGTTCATTAGTTGGTCTGCAGCAAAAAGAAAACTCATCCCTCTGTCTCTTATACACATCTAGATGTGATAACGATAAAAAAGCTAAAAAGCAATTGTTCATATATAGAAAATAAAAGAAATAAGAGAAGTTTTTACACTAGAACAATTCGATAACGATTGATCAGTATGCGATAACAACAAATTTTGACAAATCAAATCAGATGACGTCATAATCATGGAAAAACATTAAATTCGTAGTAGTAGCAACGATTTTATCGTTTTTTATGATTATGACGTCATCTGATTTGATTTGTTAAAATATTTTGTTATCGAATCGTCCTAGTGTAAAAACTTCTCTTATTTTTTGTTTTCTATATGAACAATCGCTTTTCAGCTTTTTTTTTTTTTTATCATTATAGTTATCGTTGAAGTATAAACAGGCCTTAAAATGCTTCACATTATTACCCCCAGTCATTGGGTCAAGCACATATGAATCACATACTCAGCTCCTTGGGGAGAATTCCATAATGTTGCAGCGTTAAACAGCGAATTTTGTGTTTGAGCCTACCAGGTACCCACTTGTACTCCTGGATGGAGAGAGACAGATGAAAGTAGGCTAAGGTGCTTGCCTAGGACACAAGCGAAATGCACAGCCAGGGATTGAACCTCCGACTTCAAGTTTGAGAAGCAGATCCGCAACCGCTGCGCCAAATCGTTCCATATAAAATAATCGTTACTGAGGTTGCAAAGTAAATTAAGTAACTTGGATTTATTCAGTTTAACCAATGTCAGAAAAAAGCTATCATTGTCATAAGAAGTCAACCTAAAGCATAATAGTAAACATACAATTGACACAAATCATGAAAGAGCGTTAGCCATTCATGTTTCCAAACACAAAACAATTCTTATTTGTTTAAACAAAAAATAATTGGAAATGATAGAACCTATGACGGACGTTTTCATAAGAACTGCAATAGCACTATCAGGTTTTTACTTAACTATCATGCATAGCCGTTATTAATTATCGTCATATCGATATCAAAACTGGTTACCGTCACCGTCATTTTAACCACCGCCATTGTCGTCGTCATTGTCAAAATCACAACTAGGCCTAATACCTTTTTCCAGACACTACGATTATTACCCGTTTCAATGCATCCAATTCTGGTCCCTGACCTATGATTGGTCGAACGATGCTAATATCATGTGACTTTCCTGATTATATATATATATATCGATCGTTCACACAGGTCATTTGTTTACAATCATAGCTCGTTACAACTTCAACAATGCGAGTTCAGATGCTTTATGATTGATTGAAAAGAAGTTGACAAAAATTGTCTGTCTGGCATCAATCAAGCATCAGTTTTCAAAGTTTAGTCAACATGTTCTCCAGGCCCTCCAGGACATATTTTGCTAAGGTAATTGTAATCACTCATCTATTTGTTGGTTGCCTGGCAGCTCGCTTCGCGGTACACCCATCTGATATGACCGTTAGAGAAGGCGATTCCATAGAGTTGTCCTGTAAAATCCGAGGCCTAAAAGAAGATCAGGATGTATCATGGTATAGGGATGACTTGGAATTGAGCCGTGATAAAATTATTGTAGTGAATGATAATATGCATTCAAGGTATGTTGTTACATCATTCCCAGACGGTCGTAATTCAATATATGTATTAAAAATTGATCCAACAATTAGATCGGATGCTGGCATTTACACATGTAGAATCCTATCAAATGGACATCTAGACGTGAGGTCTAAAAACGCTTCAGTTGTCATTTTGCAAATTCCACAGCAGCGTTACCCAGAATGCAAAATTTCATCAAATAAAATCACAGTCAATGATTTAGTGACGATGAATTGTAGTACTGAAAGAATTACACCGGTTGTAAATATATCGTGGACTGTAAATGGCACAACTGTTGAAAGCAATACTCTTTTAATTGGAAACACAACTACTATTCAGTACCAATTCCGAGCAAGAAAAACAGATCACCTAAGGGTTTTCATGTGCTTTTTATTTTCGGATGTTTTAGAGGAATCAAGGAATTGCTCTGTCGGTCAAATAGACGTGTTTTACCCGCCTACCGTCAGTATAGCCCATACCGCTAATAACATCATTGCTGGCCGTGAAATTTTTATGGTATGCCAAAGTAAAGCAAATCCACCAGTGACAGATTACAACTGGAAATTCTCACCAGTGATACCAGACAGGTTTGTTTTTATTGATGAATCCACACAGGTTCTACGGTTGGTTAATACAACATCTGATTTGAATAATACAATCATAACTTGTACAGCTTCAAATGAAGTAGGAAGTAAAACGGATCAAGTTAGGCTCTATATACAAGCTGAGAAGCATACTATACCTGTAACACCAGCGTACACTCCACAAAACTATGGAAGCGACCAACCGGATAATAGATTGGCAGATACAATAAGCCTTCCTCTGCCGATACTTGTAGTCTGTGCCGTTACAGGAATAGTTTTTGTACTTGTTACTACTGTGATACCGATATATATTCTGTGTATGTGTAACAAGAAACAAAATGAGACGAAAAAAGATGAAGTGCACTGTCCTATTGATGTTAGAGAAATGCAGGAGGTTTTACAGCCCGATCATTACTTTGAACCGTGTGACCGGGTTCTTCCCAGAATTCCGGATTCTGAAAGGGAATTTCCTTGGAGAAAACACATCGGAGTTCAGGTTCCGGATGATGATTATGACATAGCTTCCACATCATATACAATGTACATGACGATGAAAGAACCTAAACGGGTCAGGCGTAACGAGCAGTACCGACGATACCACACATTAATTCCTATGCGTTTGTAAGGAAAATACATTTTAATTAACAATACAATATTAAGGCTTATATAATTTCTCAACAGTAGCCATTTTAAACAATGCCATGTTAAAGGTTGTGGCCTCATATGGTGAATATTACCTGTACCCCAATTAAAGAACGGTGTTAGCGAAACGTTTTATGAAAGGGTGGATGCTTACCTTCCAATTCTGGTCTCCTGACCCGAGTACAAAATGCTGTGACAGCACAAGATTCTTTTTTCTCACGACGTAAAGACATAGGCCTCGTAACTGCAAATTTTAAAAGTATCACGTTATTTCATTTACTGAGAATGTCTAAAGAATTATATCAGCTGACCAGAATTTTCTGAAATGGTTATATTTTTATATAAATATTTAAAATGGTCATGATTTAGATTATTTAAAATCATAATGAGTTAACTGTCACAAGTATCCGGTTAAGCCGATTGCCCTACTGTGCCCTACTAGATTGTTTAAAATAAAAATGAGTTAACTGTCACCAGTATTCGGTTAAGCTGATTGCTCTCTATGCTTAAGAAATATTCTTAAATGGAACCAATAATTAATAGATATAGTTTGACCATAATTTTGCCTAATTAGGCCTATGTGATAATTAAAAATTAGGCCTATGTGATAATTAAAAATATAATCGGGATTGAGTACAACTTACAATATTTTAAAATGAAAACATCGTTATAGGGGTGTTATAGTGGCAATGGTAGTCCGCATGGACAATCAATGGCAATGGAACCAATAGCAATGGTTGCGGTAAGTGAGCTGTTAAATCGCATCACGTTTGTAGGCCTACATTGTTTAAATTGAGGTGCTTGTTCAACCAAGACAAATACTGCCACCATTTGAATGGTGTTGTGTGATTTGGGACAATATTGTGTTTTGATACCATTGATTTGACAGCCATTGTAATTTCATTGATTTCTGTCTGACAAATTACACGCATAATTATACAGTAATAGTGAGGCTGCGGACCTATTCTTCTGAGAATAAAAACGATTGAAGATAAAGTATTGAAAAATATCACCTTCAAAGATTACATAAACTATGAACTATAAATAAAATAGCCATGTTTAAACAAGTATAGACAGGGACGTATCCAGGGGGAGCCGCGGCTCCCCCTTTGTACACAGTGTTAAAATTTTAAAGCTTGTTT